CATAATGACACTAGATCTTTACAATTGGGGTCCATTTGGAGAACACTGCGTTTGGCTCATTGAGTCTTCTGAGGAAATTCAAGAACCTGATGTATGGTGGGAGCAAAAAGCGTCAACCTACCGATATAACATGGGCCTCCCCTAGCATTTGGAGGGACTGCCTACCAGGCTTGGTCCCCAAAGATGAGGAAGGTTCCTGGGGGCAGTTTTCCTGCACCACCTCTTGACGGTGTCACAGATTGAGTCCAATTGTTACAATATTCTGAATAATTATAATACAATGGTGATCTGGGAGACAACCAAGTGTTGTCATCTGTTAACTGTCTTTTTTCTTGAGTGGTTTTGGTAGCATAAGATCCAAATATCAAACAGTAATTTACTGGGACAGAACTCAAAAGATAAAATTCTTGAAGATTGGCAACAACAAATTTAAGGTTTTGCACAAATGCAACAGCTTGCGCTCCCAGTGTGCTTTTTGGATTTATTTGAGCTCGGGTCCAAGTTTTGAACTCTGCCATGGGACCCAACGAGACTCCAATTAAACAAGTACGAAAAGGGTTAGATGGTGTGGGTAACAACAGGCAGAATGAATCTTGCCTAGTTTGTTTGGCCCAAGTGATCCACATATTTTCTCTCTTGTCAATGTCAAGGATTCCAAATACTTTGATAATGAAAACATTGCTTAATAGAAACATTGAGACCCACCACATATTTCCCAGGTTCTTGAATGCCCTGTTTAACATGAAAGAAACAAACTTAATTCTAAACATAAGCTATAACTTCTAATAAACTAACTTCTGATAAATCTAACTTTATACTTATGATAATCTAACTTATTTGTCTGTATTCTACAAAATTAATTTTCATCAGAACCAGATTTATCACAGGATGTTCCAGGCAAACTGTTGTCATCGACGTTATTATCACTGCGGGTTGGTATCTTTGCCTGTGGACACGCACAGGTGAATCTGCTCGGCACCCAGACTGGACCAGTACCTGTTGAAACATACATATAACCTCTACCATTAAACAACACCGGACTTGGCCCTTGCCATTTGCCCGTCTGCATGTCCTTGTGATAAACGTAAAGTCCTGGAATTGCTTGCGGTCTTCCTTGTTTCACTGCTTGGTGGTGTATCACGACCGCAGGTTCTTCTCTACCTTCTGCCAAACACAAATAGTTTAGAGTGAACAATACCTTTGACAATCGGTTAAACACATCCAGTTTCATCACTTTGCTTTTGTTTTGCTAGGTATTCTTTCAGGGTATGGTTGGCCCTCTCTACAATGGCTTGACCTGTAGATGAGTGAGGGATCCCTGCAGTATGTTTCACCCCCCACTTCTGCATAAATGGAGCAACTTGTTTACTAACGTAAGATGGAGCATTATCAGTTTTGATTTCTACAGGTACACCCATTACTGCAAAGCAGGCAAATAATTGCCTTTTCACGTTCAGGGCCTTTCCCCCTGTCTGTGCTGTGGCCCAAATAAATCTAGAATAAGTATCTACAGTGACATGGACATATTTCAGCTTCCCAAATTCGGGAACATGAGTTACATCCATCTGCCGCAACTCTAAAGCTTTCAGACCCCTTGGATTTGTGCCAAGTCCGAGGCCAGGCCCATAATGACTACATTGAGGGCAGGCTCGAACAATCCCCTGTGCATCATTCATGGGGATCTGAAATTGTCCATGCATGGCTCTTGCATTTTGGTGGAATGTCTCATGACTGTTGCAAGCTCTCTCAAAGCTATTCTGGGGGGGAATATGGACAGCATAACTGACCACAGCATCCACCAATGCGTTGCCCTCTCCCAAACCTCTGTTACATTGATGACTTCGAATGTGCACGATGCAAAAGACATGCTGGCGCTGTTTCAACACGCTCCGCAACTGCAGGAACAGTTCTCCAAGACTCTGGTTCTGGGTTCTTCTGAGGAGTGCATCCTCAACTCTCTGCACAACTCCAACTACATATGATGCATCTGAAACAACGTTGAGTGGTTCTTTGTTCCAGGTCTGGAAAGCCCAACACACGGCCTTCAACTCAAGGGTTTGTAGACTATCTTCCACATCACCTCTGATTAGATGTTTCAACCATTTCCCTCATTGTTGCCAAATGTACACAGCTCTTTTTGACCTTCGGCTGGCATCAGTAAAGACTGTTTTTCCTTCCACTGGTTTCAATGAACACAAGGGTCTTTCCAACCACTGGTAACGACTGACGAAATGCCACATCGGGTCTTTTGGTTGTTAATTGTGCACCACTCCTGTGAAGCCTAACAATGCTTCCTGCAGTGCAGCAAAGTGTCTGAGCTGCCATTACAGATCTTCATTTTTCACAGGAACACTGATGTCTGCTGGTTCTTTTCCATCCATTTCTAAAATTCTGTCTCGGCCTTTTCGTATCAATGCAGCAAGAGCATCTGTCCTGCCCATCACACAACTTCTTGGTTGAACGGGTAAAAATACCCACTCAGGCAGGATTACTGTTGATCCACGTTGGGACTCCCTCTTTTTCTTTTGCCATTGAAAGACAATGGCAAGTGGAGAAGCATCAGCGTTGCAGAGGAACAGTGACAACGGCAAATGTTCAATGCAACGAGCACTCCAACCACGTTGTAATTTTTCTGAAACCCGAATCAAAGCTTCTTGGTGCTCAGGGGTACAGACTCAAGGGCTGTTGGCATCACTGCCATGAAGCCATGGCAAAAATGGTTGCAAATCATTGTTGGTGATTCCTACAATGGTACAAACCCACTGCAGGTCTCCAAAGAGTCTCTGGGCATTATGTAAAGTAGAAATGTTAGCATGTAAAGTAAGTTTCTGAGATCAAATTTGTGCATCTGTGATCAGCCAGCCTAAGTATTTCCAGGGGGCCGATCACTGTAATTTTTGTGGGGACGGGACACTGTCAATCCATGCTTTTTCAGTTGTGAGAAGAGCCAATTCAAGTCTGCATCTGCCAATGGCTGTTTGGTGGTGATGAGAATGTCATCCATGTAGTGATAAATCATCGCGTTGGAAAATTGTCAACGAATTGGTCACAGGGCCCAGTCAACAAACAGCTGACACATGGTCAAAGAATTGCACATTCCTTGAGGGAGGGAAACACACTCATATCGTTTTGCTGGTGTTGTTCTGTTGATAGATGGCACAGTGAAGGTGAATTGCTGGGTATCTTGTGGATGAAGAGGAATGGTAAAGAAACAGTCCTTTAGATTGATGACAACAATGCTCCACCCCTTTGGAATCATGGTTGGTGCTGGCAGTCCAAGCTGCAAAGCACCCATTGCCTGCATCTGCTCATTCACTTTTCGTAAATCATGCACCAATCTCCATTTTCCTGATTTCTTGGGGATGATGAAAATTGGGGTGTTCCATGGACTGACAGATGGCTGAACGTGTCCAGCCTTAAGTTCCTCTTGTATTAATTGGTCATCCACATGGGTGTTTCAGTCAACCAGGTAATCTTGAGGATGGGTGGCTGCTCTGCAGTGGCCATCATGGAAAATGCTGATCGGTGGTCAAAACCATTCCAAGCTGGGAAAGCACATCTCTGCCTGTCAATCCTGGAAGCAGTTTGGGTAAAGACATGACATATGGTTGAGTCACGATAACTTGATTGTCTTCAAAAATGATGCTGATTATATATCTGCTAACTGAAGGAATCTTCATTCCACCCACTCCTACAATGTGGGAACTCGGGGCTTGCAAAGGCCAGTTGGATGGCCAGTACATCTGATTGATAACTGAGACATCTGGTCCTGTATCAAGCATTAGTTCCAATCAAACACAGTGTGAACTGAACCACGTTGTAATTGTACTTTCTTGTATGGACGATCTTTCAGGTTAATTGTAAAGACATCATGGCCAGTTGATCCAAAGCCATTGTCTTGTTTTTCAGAATCAGTTGGTTCTTTTGGGTGCTGGCGATGTGGCAGGAAATTCTCAATTGCCACAATTTGGGCAATCTTGCTTCCTTTGGGAATTGTCACAGGTGGTTGCAAGGCATGAACCATTATTTTCACTTGACCAGTGAAGTCTACATCAATGACACCGGGATACATGATCATACCTTGTTTACTTGTGGAAGATCTCCCCAGCAACAAACCTCCAACCAGAGAAGTTGTGCTGTACATTGGACCACATACATTGGTAGGAATTACGGTTACCTTTGTGTCATTCAGAGTGACTTCTGTTGCTGTGGCTACATCGACTCCAAGACTTCCCCAGGTGGCAGGTGAGTTGTTCAACAGGAAGCTGTTCTTGGAGTCTGTTGGGTCCAGGCATCAATTTATTTCTTCATGCGGTGCCTCAACGCACTGCGCTGGCCATTTCCTGTCTGCGACAAGCTTCTGTAGCATGATTGTCAGTGTTGCACTTGTGACACCACACAGTCTTTTGGCAATCTCGCCGGAGATGGCCTGTTCTACTGCATCGAAAGCAAGTGGGTTTAGATGATCTAAGGTTAGGTTGACTTTTGCTGCAACAAAGAGAATTGTTGCCATTGCTGCCGGGCAAGGCAGCTGCAATCATGTGTCCTTGTTGTTGCATAGCATCCTGGATAGTTGCTGTGAATGCCGCAGCTTGGTTGCTTTGTTCTGCGCATGTGGCTCTGACAAGCATCTCATCAACTGGATAGCCTTGAGGAAGGGTGACTAAGATGGTTCTTGCGTGTGTGTTAGCATTTTCAAAAGCAAGTGAGCGGAATAAATGATTTTGAACATCTGGTGGCACGTCAGGAGCATCTTTCAAAGCAGCTGACAGCCTATCAATATTTTTTTTTAAAACAGCAGGCAATGCCAATTTGCTGCTCAGTGGAAGGTTCCACTGGTTGAACCTGATGATTTGAAAGGGTGGCAAGACGGGCTATTTTTTTGCTGTTAACATATTTGGTCTTTGTATCTTATTTTGTGATCGCTTCTTCCTGCTACAATTGACAGCAGGAGGGTCTGGCTCTGAGTCATCAGAGTCGGAGCATGGTGGAAGTGGGCAATGCAGCGCTACCGTGGTGGAGTGGGGGCTGCCAGCTTCGGGGGTCTGCACTGCCGTTGTCTGGGCAGCTGCTTCCACCATCCCTCTAGCGTGGCTGCGCTCCGCCCCCCCGAGCCGCGCCGGGCTGCTCGCCGCTGGGTACCGCCGAGCCGCGCCTCTGCGCATGCGCGCCGCCGCCACGGCCGCCGCTCTGCTGTCGCTGCCCCTGAGGGGTGTGAGGGGCGGGCGCCTTCTAGCTCCCGTCTCCGCCTTGATCTCCGCCCCTGGGTTCCTCCTCCTGACTCAGCCCTGGTTCGTCACCAACTCCGCCTGCCTCCTCAGGTGTCACCCCGCCTCCGGACCCGGCAGGGCCACTTCCGAGTTGGCCTCACTCCGCGGGAGCGCCGAGCTGTTGATAGCCGCTGTGTGCGGCACGCTTCTGCCCGTGCCGCACCCACGCTTCCGCTCGCTCCCGCACCGGCCGGCCCCTCGCCGCCTGGCTCTGCGCCCGCCTCTATACGAGCGACAAAATCCTTTACAGAGGGACTGACTGCAGCCTGCTGCCCTCGCACTGCCCACGTGTTACAAACACTAAAGAATTTTTCAACCCGAGATGGCTTCTGGACTCCTGCCTGTTCGGATGTGGCTCGCTCAAACGTCTGCATTGCGGCTTCTGCGGCTTTTTTCTCCGTGGCCATGCTTTACAGGGTATATATAACCTTTTTCCAAATGCCTCCGAACTCCAGTACCATTTTCTTGTCTTTTCCGCCCTCTATCACTGCGTCCCAAAGCAACTGCCCCAGTTCTTGCCATTCAGCTTCACTAAAAATCAGAGAAGGGTTTTGCAACTTGCCTTTGTTCCTTGTCCACAGAACCAACTGTTCTAAATCGGCTTCTTTAACTTTTTCAGCTCTTTGAGACCATATGCCGCACGGAAGCCTGCAGATCGCCATCCACGGTGAACTTCCACCCTCTCCCTTGGCGGCTTACCTCCGACCTCCGCAGGGCGCTCCGTCCGCTTTACTCGGCGAGGCAGCGCTCCCGCGCCCGGCCCCGACCATGTCCACCGTTCGGGCTTCTCGTGAACACCGGCGTCTTTTTCCCTGCTCCAGCTCCCGTCGCGAACGGCCCTGTTTGGATCTGCAGTCTTCCGCTCCGTTCACCTGATCCTCGGTCGCGAAAAGCGAATTTAGGATCCCAGCCCCGTCGCTATAAAATGATGTGGACCTGATTTTCATCGCGCGACTCAAACTCTGCTCCCCATTACCCTAAAAGTAATTTGGGAGCTTTTCGGAGCATCCTGGGTCGCTGGTTCGGGCACCACAAAATGCCAGGGACCTCATAAATCGGGACTGCTGGACAGGACAGAACGCGCATCCAGCCAATATGATCAATGCTCCATTTATTCGAGAGAAGATGGCAGTTTATATACACTTCTATATAGTTTACAGTTTACAAAGGCACCTGATTGGCAAGCTAACATTGCTTGTCTTTGTCTTAAGGTGGCCTGAACCTTACAATATAAACCTATACTACTTCACACCCAGACAGCCCAGTGCTTCCCATCACACCTTAATACAATTTCTAACTGCACCACAAACTCTTAATTTCTAACTCCGTCAGAGGCTGGAAGGTCTCACAAGGCCCAAATCTGAGGCCTAGACTGGAGTAGCTCAAATCTCATTCCAAACATAAATCATGCCCTCTGTCTCTCAGAAATGCTGCAACATTCCTAACTGGATACAGTCTGGGTTTTTGGGACACCAGACTCAGGCTTTTCCGCTGGATTTCCAGGACTGCAGCCATTCCAATTTGGACATCTACCAACACCCCGATCAAAAGGGTGTCAGGTTGTATTCTGACTCTCTAAATGGTTTTCTTTTGTATTATTGCATGTATTTTGTTTTCTTTTTCCCTTTTCCCAATAAATTGTATTTCTGACTTGGAGTCTCTCACTGGTTTTGCTTTCAAACCAGAACAACTGCTATGCACCCTAGGAGCACTTAATTTCAGCAGGTAATTGCAGCACACTTTCAGACAGGCTAACAGCTGCCCTGGTTTACAGCAACACCTGGAGACGGATTTTAGGGCAGTGGCACAAATGAAGATGAGACCAAAACCTGTTTGTCACACAGCCAATGGTGTGGGATGGAGAGGGGCAGCTGATGCTCCCAACAGGGATCCAGCATGAATCCAGAATGAATATGGCAGCAGCTCTCTGGCCACAGGGAAAAATACACGTCTTTCCCGGGTATTGCCTGAGAAAGGCTGTGAGAAGATTAGAGAAAAGAATGAGAAACAATTTTTAACTTGCTGCACCTGTTGTTGTGAACATGAGGAATGTGTTATAGAGATTTGTTTACTAGAGGGTGGTTTCTTAATCAGCTAATGGTGATGGTGTTTGGATTGGAGGACCAATTAGTATTGTATTGTAACTGTCTATAAAAGCAATGTGTTTCTTAATAATAACATAATAAAGAGAGATTGATCAGCTTTCTGTGAATCATGTAGTCTATGGTAATTATTACCTGGCTAGGGGCCTGCTGCTGCAACACACACCCTTTGTAAATCAGACCATTTTTTAATTGCTTGCTCAGGATTGGAACCTGCAACTTATCCATTCCACCTTAATCGTGGCACTTGGAGATTGTTTTTTTAACTGAGAGCCATAATTTTTTCCCCTTTCAGTCCATTTGTGTTTACACATCAAATTAAGCCCCTCCAATCCTTTTTACCAGTACCTTTGGCCTGTCAGAGCGGTATCATTTCTTCATGCTGTTCCACCCTTAAAATCCTGCTTTTTGGGGTGAAATGGCCCTTCAATTCAGCACCTGGACCAAAACATTTGCAAGATACCAACTGATCAGAATTTTTTACTAGTAACATTATTTTCTCTTGCAAGAGTCTATGAAATCCAGCAGCATATTTTCATAGGAACCCTAACATAATCTCTCGTTACCATGGAGATTTCTGTGGGGAATTTTCTATTGAGAAAATAAAAACATTTTTTAAAGAAAACTACAGTAAATTTCTCAAGCACAAATGTGAATGTGAATTTCAATAGAAGTAATTTGCAAGCATTCTGTTGTTTGCCAGCACTTAAAAGAAATCCTAAAAAAGGTTTGTATTCAGATTGGCATTGTGTTGGTAACTGGTGGGTATTTCCAACAGGAAAACTGCCTGGCTGGCACACAGGAGCACCACAGGGGCTCACAGACACCCCATCAAGAGGCCCTGGCTGGAATTTTAAGAACATGTTCACTGGAAGCACACAACCTCTCTTTAGAGCCCAGCTACATGGGATGTGTGAGGAGCAGCCAAGAACGGGGAGCTGGAAATAGTCAAAGCCAGAAGCAAACCACAGACTAATGGGGTTGCTGTGCTGGAGGGCTATCATGCCTTTCCCCACTTGGCATATTTATTATTTGTACTGCACTCATAATCTTTGGCGACTGGCACAGGGGTGCCCAGAGAAGCTGTGGCTGCCCCAGATCCCTGCAAGTGTCCAAGGACAGGTTGGAGGGGGCTTGGTCTAGTGAAAAATATCCCTTGCCCTGGCAGGGGGGTGAATCCATTGGAGTGGGGGCTGAGGGAGCAGCAACTGACTCAAGACCTGTGAATTTCCTCCCTGAAAGTTTATAAATGCATGAGCATGTTATATAATTTGTGCCACTTTTAATACGGTATATGTAATATTGAATATTTGTTGAAGCACACACATTTGTATTAGCAGTCCCCCCCCTCTCATAAGCAAAACGTGACATATGTTGAAACTTGATCCACAAGTAAATGGATGTGGCTCATCCAGAGATGGACCATATCTCAAAGCGATATGGGGATGCCCAGGTGCTGATCATCACGTCAACGACCCAAGACTGATATAATGAAAATCCTCTGGGCCGATACATGTGAATACCAGATTCCCACAACTATATCAGGAGATTCATCAACACTAGACACTGGATTGTTCCACCCCAACGCCAAGAAAAGAAATTTCATCAACATTTGGGACTCTGAAGAGGAAGAAAAGGAATGATTGCTGAAACCCTGGCGTCGGGCGGAATTTTCCCTATAAAAACTGCTCGTACCAGGAGGATGGTGTGTGGGCATAGAAGGAACCTCTACTAACGCTGTCTTCTTTGTTGCACACCCAGCGCTGACCCCAGGCTCGGCACTGTTCTTTCCTTGTGGCTGGCTAGATAGAATTTGATTATAAAATAAATATTTCATTTTTCACTTGAATTTGGCTGGACAAATATTCATTTATAACAAGGAAACCCACACATGCCTGTTCTCTAAATAACAACATTGGCAGCATTAGGAGAAAGTATTGTGACAAATGCTACTTACTTCCAAAGATGTAAAAGGTTTACTAAAACCTTATAAAAAATACAACAGAAGACAGAATAGAGAAAATATTACAGTACCAGGAGAAAAGGATTTTTCCTGCCATGTGCTCATCCACGCAATGGATGTTTCACCTTTTAATCCTTTAGCCCTGAAACAGAGATTTTTGAAGTTCACTTAAGTTAACAAAATGAATTAAGCATTTCTATTCTAGCTTGTAGAGTTATGTGTGGAATTTTAACCTTTTACTTAAGAAACCTCTGCCAAGGTACAAAAAGACATAAGAAAATGCAAATTTCTGAAGCTTCTTGCATAAAGAACAATACCAGAAAGGATCAAAGATACAAAGAACCCAGATAAAGAGGCTCCTCTGTCCCTAAGCCTACGGAGACTTACAGAGGTACTCAGATAAGCACCAAAAGACCAAAAGACCAAAAGCTCACACACAAAGGAGAAAAGTTCAAAAGTTCAACCATGAGGAGGACCACGATCTTCAGCTTCAGACACCACTGAGAGACCCCTGCAGGACCACCACGGCAAACTACGTGTGCCCAGAAGGGCGTGGACCTATTTAGCATGGGAGGCGAGGACAGGCAGGGCCAGGGGTTGAATATGCATAGAAAAATTGTGTAATGTAATGCATATGGAACACCTTTGGGAATAAAGGTTTGGGTCAGACTAAAGCTCAGTGCACAAGTCTTGGAGAGTGATCTCACCTGTGCCAGGCACTGACAATACATACCCACTTCATAACTAACCTAAGTTGTGGAGTCTATTTATTTATTTCTGTGTATCGCTTCACTCAGAATTGAAGTTTAAGGAAAAACTGGGATTTATGTCTGAAGCAGAGGACACACAGCAGGAGCTCTTCTCCTAGCAGCAGCTGCCTGCAGACATCTTCCTGCTCTGAGCCACGAGCCCAGCACCTGACTTGGGACATTCCAGCACCGTGAGAAAGCGTGGCCTTCTCATGACCTGCTGCTCCTTCCTCATTTTCTATTCTCTTCCAAAGTGCCAGGGGAATGGCCCTGAGGGGAGCAGTGGCCAGGTCTCCTGTCAACCAACCCTTCAAGAGTCCTTTGGAGATTTTGCATGAGGAAGAGCTGCAGAGCAACAAACAGAAAAAGGGGGAAATGGGATTCTTTCAACTGAAAAAAAACATTTTATTGTTATGGCATGAAAACCAGTGCTGAATTGTTACTTAACATTCCTAAAGCATCCCAGCTTCTGTGTTTTTAAATGCTGCTGAGAAGAAAAGACTGATGGCAGTGCTCTTTTCCTAGCAGACATCCAAGAGCAGCAGGGGAAGCCCCAGCAGCTGCTAAGCAGTGGGGGAAGCCCCAGCAGCTGCTGAACAGCCATGCCTTCTTTTCCCTCTGTTTTCTGAAGTCACCTCCTCCTTCCCAGCATGGCCCTGGCCTGGAGAAGGGCACGGATGAGCATGCTGGCTGCAGAGCATGAAGCCCATGGCAGCAGGAGCCCATCTGATGCAGCTGCTGTGTTATACAACTGCAGTGTCACAGCTAGTCCAGGGAATGAACAGCCCTTCCCATGTGGCATGGGCTGCTCTCTGAGCCCAGGAGCAGTGGCTTGGAAGTTGCCCTGATTCCTTCTGAAGCTTCATCCTGAACAAGTTCTCACCTTTTCAGAAGTCTACTTAACACCTTGTGTGAATTCATTCAAATTGATGCCACATAGAGGAGATGACCCTGTGTAAAAACAGGCATCCCTCCCCCCTCCATCTCTGACTGTCAGGGAGGATTTAAACAGGAATGAAGAATAAAATTCCCAGCAATTTTGTGAGCAGAGTTTGATGTTTGGTTGTGTAAATCACAACCCAGACTGAGCTGCACGTATGGGAATAGGAAGGAAGGGTTTGATGATGAACAGCTCAGTGGAGCTCAGATCCAACTGCACAGCCAGCTGAGAGTTTAATTACCCAGATGAGAGAAAGGATCCCTCAGTACCCGGCACCATTTCCATATGTGTTTGACAGTCTGAAATCAGGGCTGTTTAGCAGAGGGCAAGGGGCTGGAAGGGACCAGGGGCATCCACAAGCAGCCGGGAGGCATCAGGAACAGCGCCGGAAATGGTGCCTCTGCAACCCACACAATGGTTTCCATTTTGGTTCCTCAGGAAGGACAGAGAGCTGGACAAGTTACCTGTCCAGACATAAGTGCTGAAAGAGCAGGGAGTTGAAACTAGGCGGACTTTGGGGTCCCTTTCAACCCAAACCATGTGATTCCATGGACACCACTACTAATGAGGAACAGTTCAAGTCCAAAGGACACGAGACTCAGGGAGCAGGAATTGCTTTCAAATGGAAAAGGGTATAGTTATTAACTTCCAAACATCACGTTTAGACATCTGAGGAACAAAAATATAGGGCACTCAAGGATTTCCAGTGATTTTGAAAGCAGCAGTACTGTAACACCCCTGGGGCTGGAACTGAACAATCTGAAATGTATTCCCAGAAGGAGCTCCCAAATTGCTCTGATGAACAGTAGGCTGTTTACTGCAGGCTTTATGAGCTTTTGACATGAGTCATCCAGCAGAACTGAAGCTAAATGAGGGAACCAATAAGTGAAAATACACAGGCATCATTAGCAAAAAACAAGGAAAAAGGAAGATTGTCTGCTTTCATGCACTTTAGGGAGCTGACAGACTTTTAAAAGAGGTTGAAATACACAGCTCTCCTTTATTTCCTGAGATCATGACACCTGCTTCCAGGGGTGTTAGGATCAGCCCACCCCGAGGCTTGCTGTGGAGTCAGCAGAGGAGAGGCCCACTCAGGCATCTCCACTGGTTTTAAAGAGTGGGTGGGAACAAGTTTAACATCTAACATTAGACAGGAGCATGGATGATCTTCAAATTTGAAATTTAAATTACATTTTGAGTGCCCAGGTTTAGATGTTCTAATTAAAGAGAAAGCCTCAAATCCATACAATTCATTATTTATGAGCCTGAGAAGATAGCGTGGTGCCTGTACCTGATGTACAGGTGCTTTTAGCTCCCTTCCCAGGGCGTGGAGTCCCGAGCTCTCTGCTTAGACCCCTGGAAGCCAAGTTTTGAGTCAGGAGGAGAAAGGAAAAAACCCCCAAACCCCACTAAGCATCTTAAGGACAGCCCATGTGGTGCCTGGAACTCCAGACTCAG